AGTAACCCTATCTTTGGATGTTAACAGGACGGGCTTGGGTCATCGTATAACCATGATAGTAATGTTGCCAAGTATCTTAGCATTTTGAGGGACCAAGATCATTTTGTTTAGGCAACCTTTGAATAGCGTCATCGAGGGACTATGATCTTATACTTGTTTTGTTTTGCCAAGATCCTTCGCATGCGTAACATGGCCATTTTATTTTAGGCAACCAAGTGGGAGAAACCCTAAAGGTGCTTGTGTACAAAGTGTATATTTTCATGCTTTTGTCTTGTATTTAGGGTTTTCTATTTTGCTTTGTTTTTTGTTCTTGTCATGCAAACCCTAATTACTAAGCATAGTATAGAAAGCGATAAATTGCGTAAAATAAACTAAGCTATTACAACAATTATTATGGGAGGGGGGATACAAGTTTGAATGGGGATTTGCCCAAATATAAAGCTAAATATATTATTACAACCAAATCGAATATTGCGCGAATTAAATAAATAATACATATATTTAAAATGCAATGCAATATGTTCATGTAAAAAAAAGTTTTATGTCTTGTTTTTTGTATAAAAGAAATATCTAACTTAAACCTAAAAATAAGGAAAAATAATTAATTCTTTTTGAAAGGGGTGAAACCCTAATTTTCAATTAAAAGAAAATGCATGTTTCATATTATTATTTTGTACATTTTTTGTATAAGAAAATAATAAATAATATTATATGTAAATATTAAAAAATTAAATATGTGTAAAAAATAAGTATTTATGAGTATAAAATGTATAATAAAAAAATGTTAAGTATTTTTAATTATTTATAAGCTATTTAAGAAAATAAACTCTATTTATCAAAATACACTATTTCTCATATGAGAAAATAATATTTAAAAAAAAGTGTGAAAATAAATAAATCATTTTTTAGTATTTTTTATCATTAAGAAAAATAAATAAAAGTATTAAATATAAAAATATGAAGAAAAATGCAAAAATATAAAAAGCTAGTCAGGGGGGTGCAGTAGCAAGTCAGGTGGGTGGTTTTAGTGAAAACAAAAAGGCCCAAAGCACAAAAATCCCAGAAGCACTTCATCCCTGTCCTTGGTATGCTTCATGCATGCGCTTCCATGTTTAAACTGCATCTTGCTTATGCTTGCATAAAAACAAAAACTCATAACATGAAACATGTGGCATTTGAGCTCACGATTCCAACCATATAAATTATGTAACCTAACTCTTAAAGATCAAAGAGAATTTTTGAATCCCTAATTTGTGACCTAACTTTTTCAGAGTTTTCAATCTTCAAATTCTCTCAGCACAACTAATATAAATGAAAAGTAATGGTATGTACAGCTTCGTTATGATAAGGACTACATTTTTCCTTCACAAATTGTGGCTTGAGGTTGCCTATTCAGAGAGATAGAGTTTGAAAAAATACCTCCTTCAACTGGATTCGAGTAGGGCAATGTAGGGACTTTAATGGAGGCCTGATGACTATTTGAGCTTCCTTGAACTTCCCTGAAGCTATTCCAATGCTTATCTTGCTTTGGGGATGGCTGGAACTCTCTGAACAAGTCAAACTGCAAGCTTCCAAATTGAAAATGGTGGATGCTGAAATAGGGGTTACAGAACCAGGGTGATGGCTTGGATTGTCTAGGTATCAAGTGAATAAGATGTTTCAAATGATTAAACACAAAACGCACGAGCCAAATGAGAGTTGGCTGTGCTTTTGCAGAATCTGTGTGTTTTGGCAGAATTTTGGTGTTTTTGAGTTTTGGAGAGTTTCAAGTTCAATCCAAGCATGTTATGCCTTGTAACAAGTTTGTATATTTATATAAAAGTGATCCAAAGTCAGCCCTTACTAGTTGTGCAAGCTTTGGACCTTTTTGCAACTTTTCTTGCATTTGAAGTAAAGTGAAGTGATTAATCCCACATGCTTGTACTAGCTTGCTTGAGGGCTGATAAGAGTTGGTACACATTTCTTGAGAGCTGTAGAGTTTGTATGAATCAAGGGGACAGGTTCAATGCTCAAGATTGACAAAATTGCAAAAGTTCCTCTTTATGAAAATGGCAATGTGAAATTTTTGCCCAAAATGGAAATGCATCTTGTGTAAAGCTTCAAAATCAAAGATAAAGGCTTTAGCTTCTGAGTATGCATTTAATTATGTACTGTATAGCTAGCTTAGGACCTGTAAATAAAGATATAACCAACATAGATTTGATTTGCAACTTGATGCTATGTAAAAATGGCTTGATCAAAAGTGAGAAAATGCCAACTTCCCTTCTTCGATTCTCCCTACTCCAAAATGATCTTGGAGAGTTCTTTGACATTTTGGAAATATTGCAATGTTCTCTATAATCCATCTTTGAAATGCAATTTGAGATACCTCTTGGAACTAGGTGAAAAATGTCCATGAAGTTGGGTCCAAAACCTGCTTAAATTAGGGCAAAATTTCACTAAGTTAAAAAGTTCATGAACCTATATTCGCAAATTCATAACTTGAGATCCAAGCATCTTTTGGGAAAAGTTTGTGAAGAAAAGTTGTAGATTTCATGGAGGACTATAACTTTAGTGTTGGGAACTTTTCTTGAATCAAAATGCATCATGGTGAAAAAGTGGTGAAAAGTTGGGAAAAATAAGAAAATATTTATACTTAGAAAAATTCTAAGTTATGAAGATTTTCAAATTAAAACCCCATTTTTCAAATTTGAGTTTCTTGGTGAACAAGTTTCACATTTTGACATATCTTGATGAATTATGACCCTTGGCACTTGATTTTAACCAAAAAGTCAAAGTTTGACTTTTCAGTGTACAATTGACTTTTGATCAGTTAACTGCAAAATTCATCTATCAATCCAATGAGTTTGAGATCTTTTGAACCATGTAATTAGGTCAAGATGATGCCATTGAACCCTTGAAATCATGCTTGAACTCAATTTGTCATTGGCTAGGTTAAAAATCAGAAATTGCCCTTTCTCGGCCAAAACCCTAATTTTGACCATTTTGCCCTTTTGATGATTTGATCAAATTTCTTGAGGAGTTGTGATACAAACTTGATAAAATGGTACATATGGGTCTAAAATGTCAATGTGGATCAAAAATCATGAAGTTTGACTGTAAATTGGTCATAGTTGACTTTTTCCCAATACAGTTGATTTTTAGGTCAACTGTCCAATTGACTGATCAAAAATGTGATTCAAGGCTTGAAACTTAACATGAGAAATCTTAGGGGTCAAAAATGATCTATGAAAGTCAAATGAAGCATTGGTGATCTAAAAATCCTTGTGCATACTCAAACCCTAATTTTGGGTTATCAGTGCAAGATGAGGTGTCTTGAGCTGACCAAACCCTAATCTTGTCTTGAGTCCAAGAAGTCTTGTGAGAGAAGTCTGGATAAATGAGAGGGCAAATTTTTGGGTACAACAGTTGCCCCTGTTCAATCTTCTTTAACCTGAAGAGTTAGATTGGCGAGTTTTGCCATTCGTGACTCAAAGGTAAAAGATGATTGGACACTAGAGTGCCCATAAATTTGCACTCGACAAAGTGTAGTTGAGGGAATGGGCTTAAAGATGCCATCTGGAGAGGTGATAGAATCTTGTTGGAGATGGGCTTGTAGATGCCATCCAAGAATGTTTGCTAAATTGTAAGTTGTAAGTCAGAAGAATAAGTATCAGAATGGTGTCCATATCTGGAACGTATCTGAACTGTATCAGGAGACTAAATCTGTATGAGCAACATAATAGCGTCCGTGTCTGGAGCGTATCCGAGCTGTGTCTGTACTTGAATCTGAAAGAGTAACATAATGACTTCCGTATATGGAGTGTATTTGTACTGTATCTAGAATTTGAAATCTGAATAAGCGACAGAATGACATCCGTATCTAGAGCGTATCTGAACTTGAATCTGAATGAGTATTAGGATGGCATCCTTGTCTTGAGCGTATCTGTACTGTATCTGAAAGATGAATCTTGAATAAGCAATAGAATGTCTACCATGTCTGGAGCGTATCTGGACTGTATCTTGAAATTGAGGTCTGAATGAGTATCCGAATGACATCATTTATGGCGGAGGATAAACTCTTGTTTTTTAATGGTGTTCTCCATCTTAGAGCAGACCTAACAATCAGAGAGCAACTGGATTTCAATCGTCATGTAGTTTGGAAGCTCTAATTTTTGTAGCATCTTTTCTTATTTCTATTTACCTCTCTATAATTATTTAATTGTAATATATTTTAATGAACTATCAAAAATGTCCTGCAAAACATGTCCATGAATTCAATTTTTTAACATTTGTTTTTATTTTGTAGAAGTTGAGTTTCAAATGAAATTAATTTTGTTGAGAGATTTTGGTCATATTAAGTGAGTTTGATTTAGATTTGAATGTGATTATTTAATATAGTGTAAAATTTACTCTCAATGACTTATGTTTAAATGGATCTTTAGAGAAGAATAACTAAACCAAAATATATGTGTGAATAAAAATACTAATTCATTTATGGTCAATTCCGCTTAAGAGGTAATGAACATAACTCTGATCTTCATCCATCTAATCCTGTAAAATTACAATAAAATCTTTTTCTACAAAAAGGTTAGTTTTAGAAGACGATAGATGAAAGGGAGATAGTTGGATCTAGGATCTCAGGTGGAAGAGATATTTTATTTTTGATTATGAGTTGGATCTTTTTAGGGATCTCCAGACTTTGATTAGAGGTTTCACCCCCCTTCAGGTGTGAGTGATGAATGGAGGTGGCGTGACTCTAGCGGTGAGGTTTATTCCTTGTCTCCCACATACTCCTATTTTGTGGCCCGAGTTTCTTTCCCAGGGCGTTAGGCCTCTTTAGTTCGAAGTCAATCCTATACATTTATTATGATAGGAGTCAAATCAATGATAAAACATGATTTTGTTGATAGGTGTTTTCCTAAAAAGTGCCACAATGTACATATTATGTTATATATTTTACGTACTAACATATGCTTTCTCTTGTTTCTGTAGCACAATTATTTTCAGACCAGACTAATATGGACGATTCTAAGGCGCATAAGCCTCTGAATTCAGAGGCGGATGCAATGGTTGAAGTGTCCACGGCTGGTACTTGGATAACTTAAAAAACCTCTTACCTAGTTTCTCAGTTTCATAATTTGTTTTTATTTTAAGAAACACCTTGGTTCAAGTCATGGAGGAAACATCTTGTTTGGTTGACCATGTTTATCAGAATCTTGAATTTTTTGACACTGGTTGTGGGGTTTGATAATTTTATTTATAATCCATGAAATTTCACTATCGGCCAATAATTGTGAATCGTGCCAGTAAGCTGATTTAATTGCTTATGTGGCAACATGATCTTAAGTTGAAACACACTTTTCTTTTGCTTGCAACCTTAACATTTTTTCAATAAATTTGAAGTTTTCAATTCTGCTCACTGATTTGGGTTTGGTTATTATTAATATAGGTTATGAGGCTTCCAATCCCACAAATGTTGTAGATTCTCACATGGACTGCTCTCCAGTACTTAAAGTGAGAACACTACATATTAGCTCCTCCATTCTGGATGGGAAGAGTATGTTCTTCTACAAGGTATGTGACTTTTCTTTATTAGTTAGATTTGAATACGATTTGGTAATTTTGTTTGCTTAATTATGTGTATTATTTTTCAGCTCTTCTCTAACGAGATGAGGGAGTCACAACAGACGCTAGTCACCCTAAGAATTGATGCATATGGTATAAACATATGTAAAAATCTTTTTAGATTATTTGCTTAATCAGATTTGTTTTCTCCAATAGTTTTCTTCCAAATGATGATTTATTGTGCATATGAAAGAGGAAGCTCCATTCATGGAGCTTTTGAAATTTATGTATAATAGTTGTCTTTGTCCGACCTAACCACCTAGATTGTTGGACGTCTTCATGGCGGCGGACAAGTTTAATGTGCCTTCATTCTTGAAATACTGCAGTCGGGTGTTGATGAACATACCCATGATAGTGGAGTCTGCGTTGCTCTACCTAGAGCTTCCTTTGTGTGTGTGAATGGCTAATGTTGTTCATCCATTGGTTATAGCAGCAAAACAGTATCTTGTTGCTCGTTTCAAGGACATCACGAGGTATATTTCTTTTTTCCTCTTTGTTCGAATTATTCATACGATATATGTTATTAACTTCTTTTAAACAGAGTTTTTTTATAAATTACCATATGCCCTGAGCAAAGCTCGTTAAAAAGGAAAAAACTATATTGTATTTTATGCACTATCAAAGAATAGAATGTTCAAATGATTTTTTAGGACAAGATTGATATATTTATGATCATCTAGTAAATCATTTCTTTTTTTGACGTTGATAAGTTTTATTATTGACCAGGCATCAAGAGGAGCTGATGGAATTGCCACTTGTTGGGATTGTAGCATTATTATCTAGCTATGAGTTGCAAGTTGGATCTTAGGATGCAGTGTACGACTTCATGCTGATGTGGGATCGAACCCAATACCCTAATCTAGAAGAGAGGAGAAAAATCCTCAGACAAAATCTTATTCGCTTCATCTGTTTCCCGTTCATGACTTGCTGCAAGCTGAAGACGGTCCAAACTTGCAACGACTTCAACCATGAAATCACTTATAAGCTAGTATTCGATGCCTTGTTTTCAAGGCTGAAGCACCACATCGACAAAGAATACTAGCTACAGAATTGACTTCCACTAGTTTCCTCTTCATTGAGCGATCATACATTTATCGCCTTATTAAAGTTGTGGAATTCGAGCATCCACATCAACAATGTGTATTATACTTAGACCTAAAACGGGAGGAGTGTGCCAATTTGTTCCACTCTGGCCGCGTTTATTTACAGGCCTTCCGTTTAGGCGGTCAAATGTTTTTCTTATTAGCCTAGTGCAATATAGACCAACATAGTTTCTACATTTCTCCAGCTTATTCATTGGCATGCAGGAGACAGGATCTACCAACTTCAGCGTCGACTATGTATTTGTTGCTCGGTCGAGTAAAACCTTAGAATACATCTGCAAGTATAAAGGCAACTTTAAATTTACTGGGGGAAGTGCAGGCGGTTACAGGAACTTTTTTGCAACACCTTGGACGTCATTTTTGGCGGAGGACAAACTCTTCATTGTTAATGGTGTTCTTCATCTTAGAGCAAACCTAACAATCACAAAGCAACTGGATTTCAATCGTCATGTAGTTTGCTAGATCTGATTTTTGTAGCATCTTTTCTTATTTCTCTTTACCCCTATATAATTATATAATTGTAATATATTTCAAGGAACTATCGAAAATATCCAGCAAAACATGTCTATGAGTTCAACTTTGTAACATTTATTTTTATTTTGTTGAAGTTAAGTTTAAAATGAAAAAAAATTTGCTGAGATATTTTGGTCATATTAAGTGAATTTGATTTAGATTTGAATGTGATTATTTAATATAGTTTAAAATTTACTTTCAATGGCTTATGTTTAAATGGATCTTTAGAGTAGAATAACTAAACCAACATATATGTGTGGATGAAAATACTAATTCATTTATGATCAATTTCTCTTAAGAGGTAATGAACATAACTTTGATCTTCATCCATCTAATCCTGCAAAATTACAATAAAATCCTCTTCTACAAAAAGGTTAGTTTTAGAAGACGATATATGGAAGAGAGATAGTTGGATCTGGGATCTCAGGTGGAGAAGATATTTTCTTTTTGATTATGAGTTGGCTCTTTTTAGCGATCTCCAGTCTTTGATTAGAGGTTTCACCTCCCTTCAGGTGTGAGTGATGAATGGAGGTGGCGTGACTCGAGCGACGAGGTTTATTCTGTGTTTCCACCTACTCCTGTTTTCTAGCCCGAGTTTTTTTTCCAGGGCGCTAAGCCTCTCTAGTTGAGTTAGTTCTTTTCGATATTAGGTGACACCAAAGGACATGAAGACATGTGCATCTTTTTGACTTGAAATGGTATCTTGGTAGATTCATAGATAACTTAGTGGTTTATCGGTCTGACGTGAGAATCCTATCATGTTTCTTTGTCAATAGAAAGGGTGAGCATCTTTGACCTCCATTAAATGTGTTCTTGTTTCGTCTTTCGTGATTTTGTTGCTCTTTTCAGGTGTCCTCAGATTAGAGAGATCTAGATTTGTTTGATGTTGATTTCATTATATGTTTTTGTGGCTGTGTTTTTGTTTATTATATTTTCTTAGTGGTTTATTTTGTTGTGATCGATAATTGTCTTTGTGTTTTTCTTTGATTTTGATTCAAAGATTATTGCTTTTTTGACCAATCCAAAGATTATTGTTTTTTAGAGCATTCCTCTGGGCTCTTTGTACTGTACTGTAGGTGTAATACCTATCTTATTTTTTTATATATCATTTTGCCTTAAAAAAATTATACCGAGTTTTACATTAATTTACTTTCAAAATAAAAACGTTCTAATGTAAAAATCAATTTAATTTGAATAAAAGTTTTCTACCCAAATCCCAATTTGACTTTAAAAGTTTACAATTAGCTTTGAATCTAAAATTACTTTTAATTAAAAATATTAAATATAATTTATTTCACTTCAAACTCTATTTTAGCCGAAAAACATTTATTTAAAATCATCTTTAATAAACAATCAATGAAATATTGAAATAGATTAAAAAAATTGAATGTGATTATTTAATTTAGTGTAAAAGTTTCTTTCAATGACTTTAGCCGAATAATATAAAAACAAATTTATTTAAAATCATCATATTGAAATTGATTAAAAAATTGAATGTGATTATTTAGTAGTGTAAAAGTTACATTCAATGGATCTTTAGAGCAGAATAACTAAACCAACATATATGTGTGAATAAAATCACTCATTCATTTCTGACCAATTCCTCTTAATGTTCATAATCTCTTACACCTTTAGCAAAATCGTCACACAAATTTTCCAAAAGGATATTTGTTCTTTTCTCTCTTTTGAGATCTCTCAAACTAGCACAGAACAAAGACTTCACTTCAGAAAGCTCCCTAGAAAGGCTCTGATATCGCCTTTCTGAACACTTTCTTAACCTCCTTTCATCTTCAATCTCTTCCTTCACAGATTGAATTACTGATTCGATCATATCACGCTCTTTGATTTCTGTCATTTGCTTCATTAGCCTCTCCATTATCTGCCTATTCATTTTCTTTTCGATTACTAACTCTTTTTCTTGTGCTTGAGAAAAATCTATTTCACTTATCAGCGCTTTCGCTGTTGCAATATTTGACGCATTCTGTTCTTCAAGACACCACATACGATCGAGAACCTTGACTAACTCTCTCGAAGATTTCGAGTTGCACCTTGACTCTCCTAAAGAACTTCTAGGATTTACATCATTTTCTGGTGTAACCTGTTTTAAGCAAATAACACATTCATCTTACAACACTAAATAAACCAGTAAAAATATCTATTCAAAAACCATATGGTCGATATTCATCAAAAACGGCACAGAATCATAAAACATCTTGAGATGCAAATGGAATGTATCTATATATGTACTTACTTCCAACGAGCCATGGTCACTAGCAGGGGACGCAGACTGCGCAGCAGAACCATTTCTGTCAACTGATCTACGGCACTCAACATCTGATGTGTGAACACGTCTTCTCGAGTCCCTAGCAGATGTTGACTATATTAACGAAAAAAGTAGCAATCAGCGACAGAAAAAATGAAAAAATGTCATCAAAATTATTCATCTAATGCTAAGAGTTTATAACGTGGTTGAATCTAACTCAATCTTATAAAACCGGCTTGTAAGGTGAGGATTCTGCCTGATTGTAAATATTACTTTAGGCGATATCTTATCCAATCTGAAACTTTTAAACAAAGTGCATGATGCTAATTGTTAACAACAAATAGGGCGAAACTCTGAAATTATAATTTTATGCATACAAAACTTACATCATTCTCATAATTGATACTCACTCCCTTTCAATGTAATAATGATTGTTATTTTTTCAATTATATCATTTAATTATTAGTCTGTGCGGTACTTCCAATGTATTAATATGACTAGTTTAGTAAAAATACAATATCTTATGACAACATTATTGTATTTCTCAATTCGTGTGCAAAAACTTAAAAACGACATTCATTTTAAAAGAGAGAGCATGTAGAAGCCAAACCAAAGTGACCAACTTTTAAAACTGAAACCGAAATTTCCTATTATAGGCATAAAAAAACAGTATACCAAACATAGGAAGAAAGGAAATTAGTACATGAATAATTTCATCAAAAAAGTTCACTGCCATGTGATGGAACTAAGGTTTGCACAAAGTGCTTACCTGTTGAGAGTGAAATTCCCAGAGTTTTGCACAAAGGTTTCTTGCGGAGAGAGTTTTTGAGGTTGGAGAGTTGAGGAACTCTGGTTGAACATTATGTTGAGAAGAAGGAAATTGAAGTCTCCAAGTAGGTGATGGGGTTGAAGATCTTCCTATTACTCCTCTCTTCTTGCCTGCGACAAGTTTCATCTTTTCCAACATTAATCTTTCTTCCATTTTCTTCACACATTCTTCTCTTCTTTCCATCTTCAATTTTTTATAGTATATATTTCAAGGGTTCTTGTTTTTTTTTTAACACTGAGTGAGATTATTGAAGACAACATTAAAGTGTTTAATTATAAAGAAGAAGAAAGCTGAATGAAGAAGTATACATGAGTGTAAGTTATTACAAAGTCAGCTTTTTTTTTTCTTTTCATACAACCACGACAATAGAATCATCTGTGTGGGCTCCACTTCTGTTGGGCCATATCATAAACACCTTAATATTGTCGTCCTTTTTGTCTTGTCTTGTCTAATCATCACTTGAATTACTATTAATGAATGCTCAAAGAAATGAAGAATATCTCCGGTCACAATTAAGGTAAAATATTTACTTTTAACATAGATTAAGAAAAACTTAATTGATTATAATTAATTTTCTTGATTTTATTTACGATCTTTAATTATATGAATAACTACCAATATTAAATATTTTAAAATTAAATTAAAAATATAATAATAATATAAATATTAATTAGTTTAAAAATTAACAACTTTATAATAGTCACTAAGAACTTTTTTAGTTATAATAATGATTGAAAGGAATACTATTTAAGGACTAAAAATGAAGAAATCATTCTTTAGAAAAATTTAAAATTTTAGAAAAATTTAAAATTTTAGTTCTCAATAAACTAGATACACAAATTTAAATAGAATATTTACTATTCTAAAATAATTATAATTTTTCAAGTTTTAATATAATAATATTAATTAACTTTTAAACTATATATTCAAACTATTAATATTAATACGTGCATGACTTGTAAATACTTGTCTTATTTACACTTTTTAATGTCTTAAAATAAATTTTTCTTTAGAATATCAATACAGTATTTTTTTATTTATTATTATATTATTTTTTATTAACTTTCACACTTTTCAAATATTTCATTAATTATAATAAATAAAGATGTTTTAATAAATAATATTAATCATGATTTTCCTCTCTCATGATAGGGTAAAACACCGTCCATTTTTTACTCCCTCTTGTACAACTTTTCAACTTTTTTATTATTATTTTATTATTATTATTATTATTATTATTATTATTATTATTATTATTATTATTATTATTATTATTATAATTAAGTTTTGTTTTTTAATGGTTTGAGCCCTAGAACTCCTCTACAGTTTTACTAATACTCCTCTTAACCTTTTTTTTTAACTTCCGTTTCTTTCTTTTTTTAATTTTAATTAGTTTATTTTTATTTTTATTTTATTTAGTCATTTCTTTTAATTAATTAATTAAATTTATGTAATTAATTTAGTTTAATACAAAAAATATAACAAAAAAGATAAAAAAAATTTGTACACAATCAGAAACACTTTTACAATGAAATTAATTTAACTTTTTTTCACAATTTAAAACATAATTAAAATTCACATCACACAATCAATCTTTTTTGCTTCGTACGATAAATCACCCATTTTTGTTTCGTGTGATAAATCAGCTCAAAATCAAGAAAAAACTTTTTCATAACTAAAATTATCAACCAATAAAATTTGTTCAAACTATGATGACTATGACTTTCTCATCCCTTGATGAGAGTACATAGGCATAAAATTGCAAAATCAAGGCTAGTCCACTAATTTCCACTAACTTTAACTTCTTTCCCATTTTAACACTTTGTAAATACATGTTCTTTTGTAAATAAATAAAAGGAAGAAATAAATAATTAAGCAAACATACTTTAGATAAACATCTCAATCTTAGGCTAGAGAAGATTCTTGTTGAGTACAACAGAGGTGAGAGGTGCCTAACACATTCTCCTCACTTAACTGACTCCCAAACTCTTATTGTTGCGATGACCGTTTCATCTATTTCCTTTAGGGTTTTATCATTATTTCCCCAATTCCTTAGGAATGAGTAAATGATGGCGGTGACTCTGTAATTTTTCCAGCCACGACACCTTTCAATCTCCTTATTGGAATTTTATTCAAGATATATGTAGACGTGGAAACAACTCTATCCCCCTCCTTTCTCAATTCTTTTGGAAAATGCTTGCTCTTGATCAAGCTTCATACACTTTCATAATAGTTTTATTCTTTCTCTCATAAACTCCATTTTATTGAGGTGTTTAAGGTGGAACTACTTCATGAGTTATCCCTTCGTAATCACACAATGCAACAAACTATTTTGACAAATATTCACCTACATCAGGATCCCTTATTGTCTTGGTCGTGTGTCCACTTAGTTTTTCAACCAAGGGCTTAAATATTTTGAACACATATAACACTTGAATTTTCTTCTTTATTGAGTAAATTCATAGTTTTCTACTAAAGTCATCAATGAATGTAACAAAATAATTGGTTCTTTCAATTTATCCCACTTGGATTGGCCTACACACATCAGAATACACTACCTCAATTGTGATCTTGGTTTTACTTCATGCATATTTGTTGAAATTACTACTAGACTTATTGGATCAGAGAAATTATTCACACACACTTCATTTAATAATTGACTCATAGGAAACCTAGACATCATCCATTGTTTCTACATAAAAGTCAAGATCTTTGAAATTGAGGTGTCAAAACCTGTAGTGTCAAATACTTTCTTCTCTATTTGCAGTTTTTTCTAGACACTTATGCTTCAATACATCAAGCTCATTCTTAAATTTTATATTCTTTAACATATGAGCTTTTAAGATTAGCTTTCCAATTGCATAATGTACTTTCAACATCTTATCCATGAATATCTTATTATTATTATTAAACAATTGATCAATTCTCATAAGACTTCACTTCATACCTAGAGTGTACAAACACTTGTGATATTAGGAGTTGTTCACCATCTTTTCTCTTAGATTGAGATGTCACAAATTCCTTCAACATCTAGTTTGTTGTCATTTTGCAAACTTCACCTTGTTTTTTAACACATCAATGACCCTTACAACCCAATCTTTCCTAACAATCATGTGTGTTGAACACCTAGTTTGTAAGTATCACTAGTCACCACACTTTATTTATTCTTTAATTGTAACCATTAGTAGGGATGACAATGAATAGGGTATGGGCAGAATACTATAGTACACATCACATGCCCGCAGTTTGAAAAAAATTACCGTACCCGAGCCTATAGCGTGTGCTTACTAACATTTGTACCTGTACCTTATGGGTACCTAAGGACTCATACTCATATCCTATTTACCCGCATTTCTAATAAAAATAATTGATCAATTATAATTTATCATGTAATTTTAAACTTTTAATAACATTAAAAAAATCTATGGATGTTATTGTTGAGTCAAGAAATAAACAAACATTTAAATAAAAATGCATACAATTTTAATAGTAATGTATTCAATAAAATTGATAACTTAACTTGTGTACATAATAATAAAAATAAAAACACATAAATATATATTGTGCAAGTATGGGGTTGTTAGCTGTAAATTTGATGCTTAAAAGGAACAAGAAAATTCAAAAGGATTGTTGAGGAGAATATTTGAAGTAAACAAGCTTCATTCAATGAAGAAGCTGGATAACATTTTGACCGAAGCCTGGTAAAAGCTTCAAAATGGAAAAATGGTGCAATGATGGGACTTAGAGTTTTTGGAAAATATTCAAAGTGAAGTTCGACAACGAGATTTTGAAACTAGGCTAATAAATGAATTTTGGCCTTATCCGTTATTTGAAATAAGACATATGGAAGCCTGCGAAGGGAAAGACATATACAAGCGAGAACGTGTCATTTTCTAGAGAAAAGACTGTTCGTTACCGTTACTGTCAAAGTAGTATAAATAGGAATCTTAGCATTAGGATTTGGGATTCACATTGTACTAAAACTCACAAATTCTCGAAGTATCTAACTGTTATTGAGAAAAGAGTTATGTCAGAAATGTATGTATGAATCATTTCATTTTTATTCAACATTAAGTTACTTATTTCAACATTATTTTCATTTATTTACATTTCCCGCCGAAGTCCATTTACTTTCCTGCATTGTTTATCAATCATTTTCGCATTACTTTTAAAATTCCAGTTTCTATCGAAGTAACTATTATCAAGAAAGTTTAAGAAATTATATGCACATATGTCCTATGATCAATCTAGTTGATCTTGTGAGTAACCAAAATATTAGATTTGGAAGACTAGTGCTCGTTTACCAAAATTCACAGTAAATAAATTGGCACGCCCAGTAAGACCCAGTGCTTAGATATTTTACTTAATCTCTTTGAAAAGTTTTTTTCCTTCTGCATTTAGTTCTTCATATATAAATTTCTCAAACTCCACTGCTTGATATTGAGAAGTGGTAGGATAGCCAAAAATAACGAACCATTGCCAAAAATAAAATATGTTAGGAAGATGGTAAATCTACCTAGTAACCATGGAGAGCAACCCCCTTTGACATGGGAAAATACGGCTAAACGAATGTAACTGAAGCAATGCCCTATACGGGGTAAATGTGGGCCTTAGAAGGCCAAACTACACTTCCCCATTATCGAAGTATATTCTACAGACTGAATTACCAAGGGGATAGAAAGTCCTAAAATTCACAAAGTTTTATGAGACACCAGTGAATCTACTATGGAATACATAGCCCAATATTTGATTGAGGCTGGTGACATTGTAAATAATGAAAACTTAAGGGTTAGGTATTTTCCCAGTTCCCTTACCAAAAATGCATTCACCTGGTTCACTATGGTCCCATTGAATTCTATTCAGGATTGGACTCGTTTAGAAAGATTTTTCCATGAACAATTCTATATGGGGAAGTCGAAGATCATCCTAAAGGAATTATTGGCTAGCATCAATCATAAATTTACTAATCCAATGGTTGATTATTTGAAAAGGTTTTGTTTGTTAAAAGCTAGATGTTTCACACAAGTTCCTGAACATGAGTTGGTCGAAATGGACGCTAGTGGACTAGACTACTCTATTTGAAAGAAACTAGATACCCAATACTTAAGAGATATGGCACAGTTAGTTGATATAATTCGACAAGTATAATGCCTAAAAGCTGAAAAGGCTAGGGCGAGTAAGAA